CAACCAACCAATGTATTTATATACATTTAATTAACAACTAAACTGCTATTAACCACCTAGCTAACTGCCTAACTAACTTGCTAACAGCTTCTCAACACTCCCCCTCAAGTTGGAGAATGATCTATGTCTTTCATTCCCAACTTGATCTTCAAGCGTTCATGCTGATTTGTCCCCAGTCTCTTTGTGAAAATATCAGCCTGTTGTTCCTTGGTCGAAACATGTATGGTACAAACAACTCCCTTTTGTATTTGCTCACGAACAAAGTGACAGTCAATCTCTATATGCTTCGTTCTTTCATGATACACTGGATTTGCCGCGATGTGAAGTGCAGCCTGGTTGTCACAATACAAAGTTGTTGGCTCATGGTGCTCAATTCCCAGTTCCTTAGTTAACCCTCTCAACCAAACCAATTCTGCCACCGTAGATGCTATGCACCTGTATTTAGCCTTAGCCGATGATCGTGAAATTGTGCTTTGCTTCTTAGATTTCCAACAGATGAGAGAATCTCCTAGTTTAACACAATAGCCTGAAACAGAACGTCTTGACATGGGACAAGCAGCCCAATCAAAATCATATAACGCAACTAAGTTGGGTTTACTCTTAGCTGAAAACAAAATGCCTTATCCTGGATTCTTTCGAATATATCTCACAATACGTATAGTTGCTTCATAATGAATTTCCTTTGGAGCTTGCATGAACTGGCTTAGAAGCTGGTCTGCATACATTATATCTGGACGACTGTGTGTCAGATATAAAAGCCTTCCAATTAATCTCTGATACATTCCAGTATCCTCTAAAAGTTCATCAGAACGGTGCTCAACATGCTTATCATACTCAGATGATGTGAGCCTTTGATTCTGCTCATAGGGGGTGGAGACACTACGTGCATTTTCCAAACCAGAATCTGCAATAAGTTCCAAAGCGTATTTTCGTTGATTTAGAACAATTCCTTCTGCACTTCATACAACTTCAATGCCTAAAAAATATTTGAGTTGCCCCAAGTCCTTCATCTTGAAGCTCTTGTGAAGAATATGTTTTAGCTCTTCTATCATTCCTCCATCATTGCCTGTAATTAAGAGGTCATCCACATAAATCAACATTATGACTATTTTTTACCTTCTCATTTTGTGAATAACGAGTAATCATGAAGGCTTTGCACATAACCACCAGCAGTAAGAGCTTCAGTTAATTTTAAGTTCCATTGGCGAGATGCCTGCTTCAAACCATATAATGACTTGAGCAACCTGCATACTCTAAACTCCCCCTGGTTGCGAAAACCATCTGGCATCATCATATAGACTTCTTCATGAAGGTCTCCTTGCAAGAAGGCATTCAATACATCCATCTGATATAGCTCCCATCCAAACATAGCAGCCATTGCAATAACAGTACGAACAGTAATTTGTTTTGCTACGGGTGAAAAGGTGTCATGGAAGTCAATCCCTTCACATTGACTGTAACCTTTGGCAACTAGCCGAGCTTTAAATATTTCAACCGAGCCATCAGAGTTGTACTTGATTATGTATACCCATTTGCAACCAATGGGTCATTTATGTGGAGGTAAATCAACCACTGCCCAAGTGCCATTCTCCTCTAGAGCCTGAATCTCATGTTGCATAGCTTCTACCCAGCGTTCATCACGAGCTGCCTCATGATAGGTTTTAGGTTCAACTAAGGAGGAAACAACAAAAGCTTTTTGCGAAGGTAAAAGGAAAGAAGAAAGATTATTAAAAGAGGAAAATGTACATGCTTGCAATGAAGTAGAAGAAGAGGATTGAGAATGACAAAAAAAATCAGATAACCATGAAGGTGGTTTAGTAACTCGAGTAGAATACCGATGAGAAGAACGAGGGACAACTTGTTGACTCGATAAACTAGAGGATGAAGGACATGAATTATCAGGTACTTGACACGCTGAACCAGAAGCTACATTTTGAGCATTCGTAGTTTCAAGGTTGTATGGAAACTCATGCATGGGTAAAATCTTATTACACGAATAATGCGATGTCACAACTGGAATATGCAAAAAGTCTCGATCAAGATCACTAGACAGTGTTGAAATAGAGAACAAAGGAGAATTTTTAACTAGAAATTGAAAAGGAAAAATGGACTCGTGAAACACCGTATCTTGATTGACAAAAAAAGACTTTGAGCTCAAGTTAAAAAGAACATAACCCTTTTGAGTTAGTGAATACCCCATAAAAACTGAAGGAATAGACCGAAAATAAAACTTATCATGATTGTTGGGGATAATAGCATAACAAAGACACCCAAAAACTCTAAGATGTAAAAGATTAGGCACCTTCCATGCAACATATGAAATGGTGTTTTCCAATTAAGAACCCTTGTTGGTAGCCTGTTAATTATATAGCAAGCAGTTTGGATACACTCACCCCAGAATTTAATGGGAACAGAAGACTGAAACTTAATAGCACGAGCAACATTGAGCAGATGTTGATGTTTTCGCTAAGCAACCCCGTTTTACTGGGGTATATAGACACAAGAACTTTAATGGACAATCCCTTGAGAAGAAAAGAAAGCACTGCCTTCATTGCTAAAGAATTCCCAACCATTATCACTCCCCACAGTTTAATTTTTCCAGAAAAATGATTGACAACATAGACAAAAAACTATTTAAGAATGACAAATGCATCGCTTTTGAGCCTAAGTAAGAACACCCATGTCATACGCGTATGATCATCAACAATTGTTAAGAAATACCGATGTCCACTATGTGTTGAAATACGATACGCTCCCCAGAGATCAATATGAATAAGAGAAAATGCAATTATCTCACGAGAATCACTCACAGGGAATGGTAGATGAGTTTGTTTAACAAGAGGACAAACACCACAGCTTTTAACATGATCAATACCAGACAAATCACTATGTAACTAGGACATTTTATTCAAAGTACTCAAAGATGTATGGCCAAGACGTGCATGCCATAATACGCCATTATCATATTTTAACAATGTAGAAGACAAACAAGATTTTTTTACTGGAAATAACACGACAACCTGACGAGCTAGATGATAACTTCAAAATGTAAAGACCATCATAAGTTCTACCAATCCCCTTCATCTATCCACTGCAAAAGTCCTGTATAAGGCAAAATTGTGGATAAAAGGTTAAAGAACATTTGAGCTCTTTGGTTAACTGTGATACAGATAGTAAATTGTAATGAAAATCTGGTACATGCAAAACGTTGGTTAACATATGATCAGGGGAAAAGGCATAAGTTCCTTTGTGGGCTATGTGTGTGGTTTTACCATTTGGCAGCTGAACAAACGAAGAGAAATCACATGAAACATGAGAATTCAATTTCTCAAGATCAAAGGTCATGTGATTCGTTGCCCCAGTATCTATAATCCAGTCATAATGCAAGGAAATAAGGCGAATACCTGCCATATGCGCTACAACTTGCATGGGCGGATCTTTTCCCAACAATTCAAGAATTTGTTGGTATTGTTCTTGTGTAAAAGTAGGGGCCTTATCAGGAACAGAGTTTTCAGCCAAGGAAGAGGCTGACTCTCCTTCACTATTCAAGACAACGTTGTTGGCAGCCGATCCCTTGCGTTTATTGAACTTGTAATCAGCTGGATAACCAACCAGCTTGTAGCATGTTTCCTTCTTGTGACCTTTGATATGACAATAATCACATACACCATTGAACCGTTTCTTGGTCTGAGTACTAAAGTAGAATGCAGTAGGTTCAAATACATTGGCCAATCTTCCTGTGTTTTGACGCTGACCTTCCTCTTGAACAAGCATAGATTATGCTTGATTTACAGAAGGTAATGGTTTTAATAACAGTATTTGACTGCGTACCATAGAGTATGAGTCATTCAATCCCATAAGAAAATGAAACAATCGTTGTTGATGAACATGTTCTTTATTCTGCCGAGAAACTTCACAGTTGCATATAGCGAAATGAGCAATGGCATCATATTCATCCCAAAGCAATCGCAAGCGTGTGTAATAAACCGAAATGGAAGATATACCTTGAGAATGAGAAACAATTTCTCGATGCAGGAAATATACTCGTGAACTGTCAATCTTATCAAAACGTTCTTTAAGATCTTCCCATACACGTAATGCATTGGAAGCAAAAACTATTCATGCAGAGAGTTCTTGACTAACCTATTCAAAATCCAAGAAAGAACAATGGCATTACAACACTCCCATTGCGCCAAAAGTTCTGGAGATAAACCTTCACGAGAACAAGCTTCATCTATAAATCCAATCTTGTTCTTGGCTAATAGAGCGATACACATGGATCTGCTCCATAAATTGTAGTTTTCCACCCCAGTTAGTTGATGAGAGACGAGCAAGGTTCCTGGAGTGTCTGAAGGATAAAGATAAAGAGGGTGATTGTAGTCGATTTGAGCTATCTCCGGTTGAACCATGATTGTATAGAAACAAAGGAAGAAAGATAGCAGTTGAATCAACTCACCGGCAATGAACTTAACCGGAAACAGCTGCCGGTGATGGCTCTGATACCATGTCAACATTCGTATGAGGAAAAGAAAAGAAAACAAGTTGTATGAAGTAATGCTTTATTCATTGTATCACTTATGTACAACCAACCAATGTATTTATATACATTGAATTAACAACTAAACTGCTATTAACCACCTAGCTAACTGTCTAACTAACTTGTTAACAGCTTCTCAACATCATGTTATGTAAATTTTAATTAATAAAAAATATGTTTATTTTAATGTTATATGTATTATTTAAAATTTAAGATTTAAGTTGAGAGAGTTTAATTTAAATTGTTTTAATATTTAAACTTAAAACTTAAGATTTAGTTTCTATAAATTTTAGAATTTAAAACAAAAATAAAATTTACAGAAAATGTATATAAAATATTTTTTCTTTAAACCCTCTCTTAGTCAACGCCCCCACCACTAACTTACACAAAACATCACAGTAAATAAATAAAGCATTAATCAAATGGCACCCAAAAAAGTGTGTTTTTCTCTTCTTCACTTTGAAGGCTTTTCTCTTTCTCCTACGAAAAGTCAACGTCCCTCTTCTCCTTCTTTCTTATCTTCTTTCTCATTCCCCTGAAATTTCAAGAGCAGAAAACAGGGAGAAAAGGGAAGAAAAGAAATCTTTCAAATTTTTAGTTTTTTTTAAAAAATTTGGTTTATGGGTAACGGTTTCTGCAAGTTAAGCGTATGTTTCACCGGCGGCGGCGGATATGCCGCTGAAGAAGCTCGTCGTAGAAGGGAAATCTCCATGTTACTATCGGATCCCCTCGACGAAGGTCTTGGTCACTCCTTCTGCTACGTTAGACCCGACCCCACTCGACTCTCTTCATCCAAGGTCCATTCCGAGGAATCCACCACTACTTTCCGTACGATCTCCGGCGCCTCCGTCAGCGCCAACACGTACACGCCGCTTTCGACGGCGCTGGTGGACCCGTACGTCAGCTACAGCAGCGGCTGCTTCGATAGGGCCGCGGCTTTCGAGAGCACGACTTCGTTTTCCTCGATCCCCCTGCAGCCGATTCCGAAGAGCTTTATAAACACTTCGGGTCCGATGTCGGGTAGTCTCGTTCCGGGTTCGGGTCCTCTGGAGAGGGGGTTCATGTCGGGTCCGATCGAGAGGGGGTTCATGTCGGGTCCTCTTGATAATATTAACAACAATTATAGTCGCGGGTTATTTTCGGGTCCACTCGACAAAGGCTTTCGGATCAGTTTCAAAGAAGCTTTTCTCATGGAGCTTTTGCTTTTAAACCCAGATCGAGAAAAGGATCTTTAATTCGGGTCCTCCAAAGAGCAATCTCGAAAACCGTTTCTCGCGGCCAAAATTCCGTCGTGGCTCCGATTAAAGGTGTTGTTTCAATTAAAGAACCCGAATGGATAGTTGGTTCCGAAAAGAACCCGATTCATAATCACAACGAGAATTTGACAGTCAGTAGCTTGAATCTGAGCAGTGAATACAGTTTAGACGATGATGAGTCAATGGGTAGTCAAAATCTTCAATGGGCACAAGGGAAAGCCGGCGAGGATCGGGTGCACGTCGTCGTATCGGAGGAACACGAATGGGTTTTCGTTGGGATTTATGATGGATTCAACGGCCCTGATGCTCCTGATTATTTGTTATCAAATCTATACTCCAATGTTCATAAAGAACTCAAGGGTTTATTGTGGGATGATGGGCTCGAACAAGCCCCTGCAAATTCCCCTGAAGACGAAGAACAGAGCAAGGACTTGGAATCAGCTAGTAATTGTTCATATGATGCATGTTCAAGGTGTTTAGAGCAAGAGAATTATCCCGGTGAGAAGGAAGATGTCGATAAGAATTTGGGTTCAAAACTGAAAAAAGGTAAGAATTCCAAGGCGAAGTATAAAGGCGTGGCGACGAGGTGGGAAGAGAATCAGAGGAGGTGGAAGTGTGAATGGGATAGGGAAAGATTAGAACTCGATAGAAAATTAAAGGAACAACTGAGTAGAAACAAGTCCGGTGGATCGAGATCGATGTCAATAAACCATGGTGATGTTTTGAATGCTTTGTCCCAGGCTTTGAAGAAAACAGAGGAGTCTTATTTGGATATCGCTGATAAGATGTTGATGGAGAACCCAGAGCTGGCTTTGATGGGTTCTTGTGTGCTTGTTATGTTGATGAAAGGTGAGGATGTTTACGTGATGAATGTTGGGGATAGTAGGGCAGTTTTGGCTAAAAAAACAGAGCCCGATTACTGGGTGGGAAAGACTAGGCAAGATTTGGAAAGGATCAATGAAGAAACTTTGCATGATCTTGAAGGTTTTGATGGAGATAGATCTGATGCAATCCCTGATTTAACTGCTTTTCAGCTTAGTGTGGATCATAGCACCAGTGTAGAAGAGGTAAAATTTTCTTACACTGATCTTTTTAGTACATAAATAGATGGTTTATCTACCCTTTTTTTACCATTGATGGATTGAGCTTGATGCTTTATTTCATTGCAGGAAGTTCAAAGAATAATAAACGAACATCCCGATGATGCTTATGCGATGATGAATGACCGAGTTAAAGGTTCTTTGAAGGTCACTCGAGCTTTTGGTGCTGGTTTTCTCAAACAGGTAATTCTGTCCAACTTTTAAGATCAAAATATATCAGATTAGATTTTGATTCCTTGGTGGTTTGAGAAATGAACATTTTTGGTAAACTTTTGAGTCTTTGAGCCTTTAAGGGTTGCCCTTTTTTAAGGAATATTGCCCAAAATTGGCCTAGTTATAGTCAAGGTTCTAAAATGAGACACATCAAAATATAAAAAGAGCAGTTCTTGTGGTACTAAGAACCATTTTTACAATTTGGTCAAGTTAAAGCTTCCTGTCCAAAGAATATGGCTTTTCAAAAAAGAAGAGTCAAATGATGTTCTGGAAATGGATGAATAGCATACACAGAAATAGATCTTTTGTTTCCCCTTTCTCGTAAAAAATTCGTCAATGGTTGTGATTGTTTTGCCTTATAAAGAGGGGGTCGTTTATTGAAATCAACTGTTTCCATTTTCAAGGGATGGGCTCTTGGAAGCACTCCCTTTCTGCAATGTAGTGAACCATGGTTTTGCTTTTTATGTTGCAGTTTGGATTTTGAACTTTTGTTGGATTATATTCGAAAGTTTCTGAATTAATCCCATGTTTAATGACTCTCGTTTCGGATTTCAACTATTCCAGCCTAAATGGAATGATGCATTGCTAGAGATGTTCAGAATAGATTACAAAGGAACTTCTCCATATATCACTTGTGCTCCATCTCTCCACCACCACAAATTAGGTTCCAAAGACAGATTTTTGATATTATCATCCGACGGTCTCTATCAATACTTAACGAACGAGGAAGCTGTATCTGAGGTCGAACTGTTCATCACAATGCAACCCGAAGGAGATCCTGCTCAGCATCTCGTCGAGGAAGTGTTGTTCCGAGCAGCAAAGAATGCTGGTACTATCCAAATACCAGTCTCTTTTTTAATCTCCATTCCTCATTTATGCATTATACCAAAAAATAATTCTAAAATCCAAAATACTTGGTGCTGCTTATTACAGGCATGGACTTTCATGAGTTACTCGAAATACCACAAGGAGATAGACGACGATACCATGATGACGTTTCCATTATAGTTATATCTTTAGAGGGGAGAATATGGAGATCTTGTGTATAAGTGGAGAAAACAACATATGGAAGATAGATATGTGTCTGCTAAAAGAAGTCGAAGTTTCCCTTTTTTTTCAACGTTTTTTCCCGGTCACCATTGTAACATAGCTATTAAGCTCCTACGAGTTCCCGAGGAACTTTGTTGTGAAAAGTAGCTGGGTGGTGAAGGGGGTGTAAAGGTGTAAAAGCAGGTTCATGTTGAATATATAAACTATCATAAAAATTGTAGTTTTCCTACTAATAAATGACAAATCCTTTTGAAAAGCTGTGTTTCATTTGTTAAAATGTTATCTACATGTATTTTTCCTCCTTTTGTAACATTATTACAAAGATTTCTTCTTCTTTGATACATTAATACACATTTTTTTAATAGTTTAAGGTAATTATAAGATAGCACCTGTTTCGAGTCCTTATAAACGTATTGTTAAAACCCGAGTCTTCTGGGAAGAATAATATTTTCTTATACACCTTATACTAAAATGTTAGATGTAAAAAATGAAGATCTTTTGCTGCTACTCCTGCAGATCATCATCATTATTTTGGTTTGCAGAAAATGTAGAAATGAAATGAAGTTTGAATTTATTTGAAGCAGAATGCAGCAGTGTGAGTGTGGTTTTCTCTTTGTTGGCCATTTATTGATGGTGAGAAGGTCTTAAAATATATAGGTAAAAGTCATGAATGAAACCTACATACCCCCGCCCACCAAACCCATAACAAGACCCACTACCCCATTAAATGAAGTTATAATTAATTCAAAACCCTTTTTCTTTCTCCAGGGCAAGGAGGAAGAAGGAAGAGATGAAGAATGGAAAACCTTGTCCATTTTTTATGTTAATGGGTGAGTCCACGTAGCACAGGGATGAGGTGTGTGTGCTGTGACCCTACTTCACTACAAATTTAGCCCCATAAAATTTTCATAACTGCTAACAACTTTGAAATTGGAGAGTAAATGCACGGTCGTTGGGGTGATGCAAATGCAATGCTTAATTACCCATTAAAAACCAGTCTTTTATTTTCCATTTAAATGCGTTCTAAACCAAATATTTCATTAGTTCCTCACCCTTTGGTCCGGAGTATATGCAGGAGTGTAAATGAATAGAGTGTTCAACAAATTATTAGTGAATTGTTTATATAACATTCGTTTATTAAGCTAAATAAATGGGTATCAACAAAACTTTTATGTTCATTTAAAAACAAACGAACACGATTAGAGGTGTGTTTGATTCGTTTATATTCACGAATAAACTCGTTTATGGGCTCATTTATAAACTTGTTTACTTGGTTCTCATTTTTCTTTTATTTATTGGTGAAGATAGAGACTAAATTGAACATAAAATAAGCTTCAGAGTTCAAACCGTGAAGCCTTTGAAACTTAAGAACTAGTGGCATAATTTCACCATTTTTTTGATTTGTGAAACCTTTGAAACTTAATGACTGTTTGTATAATTTCACCATTTTACTTTAGTTTGCAAATATAAACGTAAAATGAGAGTGCCAAACATTAAACCACGTTAAAAGAACGTACTTACAAACGTTAAATAAATATATTCGTAAATGTTAAATAAATATGTTTATAAATGTTAAATAAAAAAATATGAACACCTTTAAAAATAGATAAACGAATACACATTAAATATAAATAATTTTAAAAATAAATAAAAAAAATATAAATATAATTTTATTCGTTCAAGTTCTATTCATTTACAACCATAAATATATAAAACTCTAGTCGATATCCCACTGCGTTGCTAGGCAGGGAGTCTTGGGCTAAAGATCCAAAGAAGAAACAGTGACAGTTGGTGGGTTGACTCAGTTTGATTTTGTTGGGCTTCTTTTTGGGGAACAAAGATGTTTGACCGCTCATACTTATATTTTCTAGTGGGCTCCAAAAGTTTTAGAATGGCTTTGGAAAGTTAAAAGAGTTGTAGAGAGGAGAGAAGTAGAAGAAAGAGAATTTTTTTCCTTCAAACTTTTCTCTTAAACCTCAGTAAAAAAATTTGGAAAGTCAAATGTATGAAAAATTTGTGCTAAGTTATCGGTTTAAGCTGTCACATTAATATTCTGTTATTATAATAACGTCTATTAACGATGAACGACCGATTTTTATAAATCAATAATATTAAAGATTAATTTATCATTTTTAAAATTTTAATAAAAAAGTATCCAAACATTAATGATAATTTATGTAATTTATCATTTTTTTAAATAATTAAGAGTACGATGTTGCGGGCAAGAGGAGTAGCCTCGTGGCAGGCGATGTGGGATCGACACAAGAGTCAAAATGCCGACATTTTCAACAGACAAAGGACGTAAGATTAAATGTTTGGGAGATTATTATTACAAGTTCCCCCGTCGTTTTGCAGTATGACATTTTCTTCATCGTAAGCTTCTAATTAAATATGATAATTACGTAATAACCAAACCTAATACACTCATACTAATAGCGTTAATTTTCACTTCACACAAACATTAACCTCATACTTGAAAATACTTTAACATTTTATGTTGGGTTTGGTTCCATAGTTGTGTAACCTAGCTCATACATGTCCACATAAAAGTCTTCACATTTTTATTCGAGTTTGAATCATTAAAAAAATTAATATTTTAATAATTTATAAAATTTATTAATATTGGTTTAAAATTATTTCTAGTTATTGACAATATACATATATTTTATAAACATATTATTTAAATTTGAATCTTTTAAATAGAACAACATTTTTCATTTTAACATCGAAACACTTAATTTATTCTTTAACGATGATAAGACGTTGCATTATATGATATGTCAACATCATCGTTAATTTTTAACGACAAGTGATCAAAACATAATTTAAGATGATTTTAAAAAAAGAAATAGTTGAGTGGCCAAAACTATGAGTAAATACATAATTTACCCTATTCTAATTTGTGTCTGCTAATATTTTTCATGATTTACTACTCTCAAGAACTTTATCTTCGCCTTTCTCAATTTTCCCAAATCTCAAGTCTCAAATTCAAATTTGAAACCAAGCACCCTGTGGATGTTGACTTTACCTCCATTCTCTAATAATGGTAAACTTCTCATTTACATTTAAAAATAAAATATTGGGGCACCTAACACAGTTGAAAACCCATTTATTGTTTCAAATCAAAGAGATCAGCTTTGAAATCTTCTCCCCCATTGTCCCCCAAAATTTCCTTGCTTCCCATGCCTTGTTTTAATATTGTTGGCCATAGATATTAGGTGAATGTTTCTTGAATTTTTTTATCAACAATCTTGTTCTATAGTTTGTTTAATCTACTGATTCAGCTTGGATTATGTCTACATTAAGCAAGAATCCCAGCAACATGGGTTATCCTTTCTTCCATGAATTCAAGAAACAAGCTTCCTTCTTCCTCAAGGAGAAGATCAAAACAGCTCGTTTAGCTTTAACCGATGTTACCCCTGCGCAGCTGTATGATTCTTCTTCAATTTTTTGCCTCTTTGGTTCATAGTTATCTAGCGAGTAAAAAAGGGTGTTGTTTATGATCCTGCAGGTTGACCGAGGAAGCTACAAATGGGAATACGTGGGCACCAAACACCCAAACCCTGGGTTCCATTTCAAGGGCTGCTTTTGAATTAGATGATTACCGGAGAATTGTTGAAATTTTGCATCAAAAGTATGTTATTTTTCCAAAACCTCTTCTTTTTTCTTTTTAATTTTGCTTTGATTTGATGTTTTTGCTTGCATGAACCAGATTGGGCAATTTTGAAAGAAAGACATGGAGAACCTCTTACAATTCTCTGATAGTTCTTGAACATTTGTTGACACATGGACCGGAGAGTACGGCGGAGGAATTCCAGGCTGATCAAGATTCTATTTTAAAGATGCAAAGCTTTCAATACATAGACGAGAAAGGGTTTGTTTTTGTAACTTCACCCTTGGTTTAATTCGATCTAATTCTATTCGATCATAAAAATTCGACATCTCGAATCTATTTGCAGATTCAATTGGGGATTAGCTGTTAGGAAGAAATCGGAGAGAGTGTTGAAGCTGCTGGAGAAAGGGCCTGTTTTGAAAGAAGAGAGGAACCGAGCTCGGAAGCTAACACGAGGGATCAAAGGCTTTGGTAGTTTCTCGCAGAGGTCATCTTCTTCTTCAACGCAAGGCATTCTACAAGAATCATCATCGCATTTAACATATGGAAGAAGCAATTCCGATTTCATCGACCATGAGAATCAAGAAAACCAGCTGCCAGTCACGGACAAGGTTGATAAAACAGAGTGGTGGAACAACGAGACTGCACCACACGAAGCCGAAACCAGTAGTTTCAAAGAAAACATGGGTCCATTGAAGGAAGAAGTTCATAACTGGACTGAATCCGGGGAGTGTAATCCACTTCTGGGGAGTGGAAGTGATGAACCGAGGCCAGGAGTTTCGATCGAAGATGATCATCCTTTCAGCAGCAATGAGAATGGAGCTTCTTGTTCGATGCTTCTTTCCAGAGATGGCATTCTTCAAGGGTGTTGACAGATTCTCAAGTTATACGCAATTAAGCATGGGTAACCGTTTTTGCCGTTTTTGCTCATCTCTCTCAAGTAAAACAACTTAATTACTTGTTATTGAAACTACATATATCTACAGTAAAACAACTTAATTACTTGTTATTGAAACTACATATATCTACTCAGATATTTGTATGTTTAATTACTTGCTTTATGCGCTTGACATATGTCTTTACCTTACATACATATCTTGGGAGAGTATTATTTTAATAAATAATGGTTAGAATCAGTAAATATGGATAAAAGGGGATAAACTACATGATCATTTAATCATGGAGAAACTTTGACTTGATCATAGATTTTTTAATTTTATTAATCAGACCACTTAATTATGTAAATGAAGACAATCAAACTATTTGCGTTAACATTTCACAGAAGAGCTGGCGCAGCAGTTAACAAAAATAATATAATTACACATTTGATTTTTAATACTTATATATTTTATCAATTTGATCCTAATTTTATTTTATTTCAATAAATTTAATCTTCTAATCCGACATATGACACCAATTAATTAGAAGTTACAATGTAGGGTGCAAAAAGGAGGATTCAATCTTGGGACATGGGAGAGAGTTGAGTTTGTAAGGTGAAAAAATAGCCAACCAATTAATGTAGTTACAAAAGCAAAGAAACGCTGGAATGGCGTTGAAAGAAATGCTATGAGAAATTAAAGAAAAAAAGAAGAAGAGGAATTTGAGATCTACCATTATCTCCACCATCTTTTAGAGTTGCTACAAAATGATGATGAAGAAAACAAGAGAAACAGAATGAAATGAGAGAGAAACAGTAATGGTATAGAAACTTAGTAGCCTGAATTTGTTAAGCCAACACATTAGCAACTTCTAGGCCTCGTTGTTTTTTGAATTAGAAGCATTTCCTGTACACGATAGATGGATCAGATTCATCATACTCTGCCTTTGCAATCCACATCTGCATTCCATTCATATCACAATCAGTAATTGTGTTGTGCATTATAGGTTTAAAACATTTTATATTTTAGATGGTTTTATGATTGATTAAGTTGAGTTTCGGGTTTGGATGTTTGAGTTGATTAAGTGAATAATACCTGTTGGAAAGTACTTTGAGATACCAAGATGGAGCCTCCAATCCAGACACTGTATTTCCTTTCAGGTGGAGCTACCACCTTAATTTTCACGCTGCTCGGGGCCAAGGCAGTGATTTCCTCGCTCATTCTGTCAGCAATTCCAGGGAACATGGTCGTTCCACCACTCAGAACGATGTTCCCATACAAATCCTTCCTGATATCCACATCACACTTCATGATTGAATTTTATGTCGTTTCGTGAATGCCAGCAGCTTCCATCCCGATCATCGAAGGCTGGAAAAGGACTTCCGGGCAAACGGAATCGCTCCGCACCAATTGTGATCACCTGCCCATCACGCAACTCATAGCTCTTCTCGATAGAAGAACTAGTTTTCGAAGTTTCCAGCTCTTGTTCGAAATCAAGTGCGATATGCAAGCTTCTCCTTCACATCCCTCTCAATTTCACGCTCAGCCGTAGTGGTAAACGAATAACCACGCTCGGTCAAGATTTTCATAAGGGCATCAGTAAGGTCACGTCCCAGCAAGGTCAAGCCGGAGGATGGCATGCGGAAGGGCATACCCTTCATAGATGGGGACAGTATGGCTCACACCATCCCCAGAGTCCAGAACAATACCTACATAAAGTATGTTATGAATGTCTAACCAAGTGCAAATTTGAAGCGTTCAATGGCTTACCAGTTGTTCGACCACTGGCATAAAGTGAGAGAACAGCCTGGATGGCAACATACATGGCAGGAGTATTGAAGGTCTCAAACATGATCTGGGTCATTTTCTCGCTATTCGCTTTCGGGTTAAGGGGTGCCTCGGTGAGAAGAACAGGGTGTTCTTCAGGAGCCACACGGAGTTCATTGTAAAAGGTGTGATGTCAAATCTTTTCCATATCATCCCAGTTGTTAACAATTCCGTGTTCGATTGGATATTTAAGCCTCATCCCCAACATATGCATCTTTCTGACCCATCCCAACCATCACACCGGTGTGCCGTGGACGACCCACAATACTAGGGAACACAGCCCTTGATGCATCATCACCAGCAAATCCAGCCTAATAACATTACAATGCATCACTAATAAAACATCCTACATAAACCTAAAGATGAATGTTTAGAACCTATGTTAATCGAATTCGAGTTCGAAGTCATATCTTCATGTCTATTTGTCGAACAAGAGTGTCGGACATAATTAATTTTAAAAAATAAAATAAAGAGTTCGGGTAACATAACTTACATCATACCATTGACATAAGTAGGAAAACAGTGAATACTAAATTCATACCTTAACCATTCCAGTTCCATTATCGCATACGAGTGGTTGAATATCTTCACCCTCAGCCATCTTATTGTATCACCGGCTGAAATGAAACATCAAATTCAGTTCAACATATTCCACAAAATTAATGAAAACATAATCCATTTAACAGATTGTTTTATTTTTGGCATGAATGATGAATCACCAGCGCAAAAGCAAGGTAAAATCGTAGAAAGATGATGTAAACTGCCTGCCCTTTAGGTTCCAAAAAGGAAATGGCACGGTGAAAGATGACAAGTTTTTCAAATTTAAAACGGATACGCCAAACTTTGTGCTTATTTTCCAACTTTTTACTGTGTCCTTCGCTCCTATCATCCTTTTATGGTTTATAAGGAGCGCTTCAACCGCGCTCTAATCTGGGAAAAATGCTTTCCAATCCATTCATATTTTCTTTAACAAATAAGATAAACATTCATTTAGTTTTTTTTTTTCAAATAATCTGAGTGATTACAAAATAGTATCTATTAAAATTTATTTTAAGTTATTGACAATATAAATCCGACAAACACAACTACTCGAACTAAAAAAATTATATCATTCACTTTTACCATTGAGACCTCGTGATAGGTCCAAAGATACATTTAGTCTCTAAGTGATGTTAATTGCGTTATAGGATAATTGTAAAAGCCATTACTTTAACAGCAACAATGTTTAACAATTAACATTATTATCGATTTGGAACACCGCTATACATATTTTCATTGACCTCGTTAAAAAAATAAGAAATATTTTCTGGTGCTGTTTAATTTCTTTAACAATTATTTTCAGTTTAAATATTTCATGCAGATTTTCTTAACAATTTATATACATTATCGGTCCATAAAATATAATTTCAATATAAATTTACCATCTTTTATATTCTCAACCTACGTGCGCATTTAAATAGTAAGAGTTAATTACATCACTCATTCTCAAACTATTAGTATCATTCTAAATTAGTTCTTAAACTTTTAAACATTTCAATTTTATCCCTAAACTTTGACCTTCATTTTGAATTAGTCCTCAAACTTTTAAACATTTCAATTTTATCCTAAACTATTGGTATATGCTAATAACATTTCTTTCCAATAAAACTGTTAGGCTTAGCTATATTATTATATTTTAAAAAATAAAATTTAGGTCAAACTATAGTTAAAACTAATTACATGTTTGGATGAAATTGTGAATGAATTTGGAAGATTCAAAAGTTTGAGGAATAAGGGTCATATTTAGTGATGAAATTGAAATATTAAAAAATTTGAGAACCAATTTAGAATAAAAATTATATTTTGCGGATGTGTAATGCAATTAACTCTTTAAATAATTAACTACTCGCTTCTTCATTATGCAAATAGAGCTGCTAGTTTTTTTGTTTTTTTTTTTTTGTATTTAGAAAAGAGAGATAATATTCAATATTACAATGAACATATAATAAGGACATATCCCTATAACTATTAACACAATAAACTAACTACTTGAGATCATATAAGAACCATAAAAAGAAAAGGTTAAAGACCCATCTAAAAAAATTCGAACAAAAGATAGATACAAATATATCTGATTGCATCGATAAACGAATCACAATAGGAGATTAAACTATTGAAAGACCACTAACAATTGAAAATCAGATTGAGCGTCGTGAGAAAACTATTTTCGAACGTAAATCGTGTATCTAAATCTAATCCGGAAGTTCAAAGTAGGGAATATCAACAAGATAACAGATAATCATTATCTTGATCAATCGAGACGTTATCAAATCTAACCCTAAGAAAATTAAGCGGAAAGAAAAAGTTCAAGTGACCTACAAAATATAATGGTGTGCAATGAATATATCAAATATAATACTTTTAATTAAAAATTTAGATACATGATAAGATCATAATAACCCAATTTGTGGGTGAGGAAAAAATATTATGGTGTGCAATGAATATTTCAAAGGACCTACAGAATATTGTGCAAAATTTTGACAGATTTGTTTCTTTCGGCTTAAGAGTAGAATAATAGATGTAAGAACATAAAAAATACCTTCATGATGTCCCACAAGTGTACGTTGATGGTTTAAAAAAACCATTTTATAGATAAATTGTTAGTTGTAATGTAGTATCCAAAATTTATTATAATCTGCATTGAGACCAATAATGTATGAAATAATTACATCACCGCAAATAAGACCAAAATTTATTATAAATAAAGTGTAGGTAGCTATATACTTACCTTGTTAATGTCATGCATTCGCTAAAATATTAATAAATGTCTTTAATCGGTCTAAAGAAAGTCTTTCTCTAGAGGGAATGAGTAAGTAGTTAAAGAGAAAGTCCTTCATTTTCATTAAGTTGGTGCTCTTGTGTTTTTTGTGCCTTATGCAAGAAAAAAACAAAAGCAAATGAAGGAGAAAGAGTGTGGGGATGGATGATGGGAAGCAAAATGATTAAGCATGACTTTCTGCAATTATATATTTTCCATTACACTCGCACTGTTTATATATTTATATTAAAGACAAATTATTGCTTTACATTCATATCTCCCAAAACAATTAGTAGAATGAAATTAATGGGAATGAAAGCATCTTCATCGCCGCATTTAGGAATCCTAAGCGCTTAGTCATGCCATGAAAAATGGCCTGCACTGGAAGGGACCCATGCCAATGCAACCAAGGCAGGCATTTGTGTATATCTACTGCAAGCTAAACCCTTCCTTTCGATTATTATATATTACACCATATGATGGGATCTGCTCTGTGGGTTTTGTTTCTTGGGAATCATTTCACGTTCTTACTTTTTACCTTTTTTTTAAATCAATTATTGTTTAGTAAAATTACCGCAAAATCAAATGTTAGTATTGACAAGACAAATAAAATAATAAATCGAATAAATGAATGAAATATTGTGTCGTAATGAACCATTATCTTAAAAGTAATTTTATCTTGATTGATGTAATCGTATCATTAGACAATGTTTTTGAGATCAATAATTTTTTCCAAAAAAAATCGTAAATTAGAAATTTGGAGTGGATGATAATGATATTGTTCTTCTCTATAAAACGGAAATCGGGAAGGATCAAGAAAGCTTTTTAAGAGAGAAAAGGAAGAGAAATTTTGTAAGTAAAATGTGATTTGTTTGGATGATTTGAAAAAGTTAAAAGGCCTTGATATTTATAGGCTGAATTTCAGCAGAACAACTGTTAATACAACTGCTATAACAGCAGCACGAAATTAAAGACTGGAATAACCCAAATCAACATAGATCAATGTTATAGTAAATTTTGATTTTAATCAGTCAATCAAAATTAGTGCTGTGATTGACGGTAATTTAAAATTAGTTGAAATCATGTGGTAATTAACGACAAGTTAAACCTAATATTCACAGCAATAAAAACATTCCAAATTCAAGATTATTTGTTTAATGAAGCATATAATTTAAGTTTGCTTTTTCTAATAAAATGCTATTGCTGAGAATATATATATATATAAATAAAGGAGAAGAATTCTTTACAGTGTTTTAAACATTTAAAAAGAAATTAACAAACAGCAGCAGCAGCAACAACACATGAGTGTAAGGGTCTTATCAATCAATTACCAACAATTATTAGTGTAAATACTTGTAACATGGTATTGGTTGATACTTGATTGAAGCAAAATACTGAGATGTTGTAGCAAAAATGTACGACATAATTAAAGATAAACAAATTTAACTAAACATCATGATTTAGGCTCTCCCGTTTAGTCAGACATTATTGCAATTGTGATGGATCAAAACATAATCTCATGCTTATATATATATATATATATAAATCTTATAATTATGCATTCAATAATGATTAACGATAAACAGATAGGGCCGTTAACAAGAAAGCAAAGATCATGATACTGCTCGAGAGAAAAAATGCAGGTTTCCTCGACAATGAATTAGAACCCATTGTTCCTTTGCAGCTGCCTCGTAAGGCATCCAAAAGCAGCATCTAATGTCAAAGAGAGCAGGGACTTAAATTGCAGTTGCAGTTGTGTTTTCTATCGCGTTGCGTTTATCGCGATTGAAGATATTACGGTCGTGCAATAACGGTTTCGAACCGCATCAAAACTACTATATTACAGCCAATATTCCAAAAATGAAAAAGTGTGCAAGCTCAACCCGGCCTAAGCCATGCACCCGACAATGTCTCCTTGCTCCCATCGCAAGCGACCCCATGAACTTGTCTTTGAAAACCACATAAAACTTACAACACGAAAAGATGCAAGTGATTTTTCCTTTTTAATTTTCATAGAAAACAAACAAGCAATGATGAGGAATCATGGAAAAATCTCGCGAGATGGGTAAATCGTGAAATGAAAGTTGTAAACCACGTGATTTGATGCATCAAAGTTCGTAGGCATCAGGGAAAAGCGATTGCTTAAACGACATTTTATGTAGTTCGTTTAATGGGCGTAGCTTTTCGTAAGGGTGGAAAGAGAGTGACCGAGACTTCACTCTATCATGAAAATAAAATGTCAATATATGGTTTTGGTCCCTATACTTATTGGGTTTGAATCGTCTGCTATTATTTGACATAATATGATGATATACTTTTATCTTAAATAATTAACAATGTTAACTATTGTGATTAAAATTATTAAATGGATTTTTTTAATAAAAAAACCCAAATGATTTTTTAGGTCGCCTAATTTTATTAGTTTAGTTATTTTAGCTCTTAAAGTTTTTTGAACCAATCAAGTGGCTTCAGTGGTAAAAGAGAATATTGTTCTTCTTAGAGGTTCTAGGTTCGAGTAAATAATTTTGCTAGATGTGTGTGTTATCGATTGATTAAGAAAGTTCTGAACAAATACTATCTTGTTATCACATCCTAGATTATAACACTTAGATTTTTATTTTTGAATGTATAATAAGGATAGAATAGCGTTATTGTTTTGTTATGTTTAAGTCAATTTGACGGAAAAAATAAATGGTCGGGGTAAAAAAAAAACTCAATCAAAATTTAAAGGTTAAAATGATTAAATTAGTAAATTTAGAAAGCTAAAAAGGCAATTTCTGTTAGAACTGCTGATACACCCCATAACGCACCATAAAAAATAATCTGGCGATCTCTTTAGAGATCCAAATACGAGGAACGAATCGAGATGAATGAGATGAGAAATTACGAGTTAAAATTTAGAAAACCTGAATCTGAAACTGCATAGTTGTATTGTGAATCTAATTTCGTTCACACAATGTTGATTTCGAAGCTGATACTATAGTTTCTCGACCTCTATGCAATTCACCTGATTGAAATGAACGATTTTAATTCTTTTAAGTGTTAGAGATTTTTAACCCACAAGGCATAATACAACTGTTAGTCCTTATGCTTTTATTTTATATAGCCTTTAAAAATTTAATTCAACTTAAATTAGACTTTATCATATAATAATGTCTAGAATAATTTTAATATTACAAATAATGAGTGACATCTAGCAATACATCATTGTTACCTAAGTTACATGAAGTCATGGTTAACATAATTTTTCAATCCTTTTGTCTTTTTGTATCTAGATTGAACACAAATCATGAATCAATCATACTTGTATAGTCCATCTAATATTTCTTAATATCTTGATTAGACTATATAAACAAATAACTTTTTTTTGAAAGGGGTGTTTTGTATGACATTAGATAGATCAAAGCATACAAAACAAGGCACGAGAAAAGGGCCTCGCTGAAAAACTTTCGTAAGCCTAAATAGAGGAAAAAGAGTACCCCAAAACCAGTGCCAATTCGAAAACAAAAATCATACATTTTCTAGTCTCACTCAATTAAACGACCTAAGATATTACTCTCATTATGTAGGATGGACAAATGTTATGTTGATCACACTACATAAATTATGAGATGTCCATTATCAATGTTTATGGTGCAACTAGTTACAACATACATCTGCCTATATCAAAATATGTGACTCACACAATTGAGCAAATGATAATATTAAATCTGGAGATTCATATATGTAGTTATTATTATGAGCAATATTGTGACTGTCATATAATCATAGCAAGTAACTTAAATATGTTGTTCTTTAAAGTAATTAATGGTATTAATTATTTAAACTAACTAATTAGATAATACAAGTAAAGGAACATTTTCCAAATTAAAGCACAATATACTAAATACTTAATTAATCAAGCATAGCATAAGGATTAAAACCACAATTTGACCAAAATAATAAAGAGAGGGGGCTAAGCGGTAGAAAGAGACCTTTATGGAGGGAGTGAAAGCGAGAAAGATTTGTGTGAGCTTTTGTTTATATATGATGCATTGGATCCTACGCCAAAGTGGGTTCTCAAAGCCTCTATTTCTCCCTATGTCTTTCTATCAAAGCAAACAAGTTTGAGAACCAAATTCCAAAGAAAAACTGAGAAAAAAATCAGTGAACAGTCGAGGAAGATGATGATGTGATGAATTAAAAACCCTTTGGCATTTTCGTTTCCCTGTCGTCAATATCAGCATTCTTTCTTGTTTTTCTAGGCTTTTCATTCCTCAGTGTTCATGCTAGCTGTTACTTTTCGCCTTACCTGATCCCCTCTTATCTTTTATCCTTTGTCTTCGATCCTAGGTTCATTTAAGACTTTGGGGTTAGTTAACTTCAACGTTTGTCTCGTTTCCTTCATGCACTCGAAAAATTAAGGCCATGGAACTCAGTTTATTGGTTAGGCCTCCTTCAGAATTCCAAGAAGATGAGTGTCAAATTGCATCCAATTTTCAAGATGTTATTGTCGACGATGATGATGAGAGTACTCAACAACAACAACAAAAACAAGAGTTGGTACTAGATGAAGATGGAGAAAAAGGGAAGCTGAAATTGCCATGTTCAGGAGAATTCAACGTTGGTGAAGATGGAAACGATGATGGGTTCAAGACTCCAACTTGTTTGGGTCAGAGAATTCCAGCCAGTCTCAAGTGCCCACCTGCACCAAGGAAACCAAAATATGTCCCGATTATATCATCAAAGCGAAAAGCTGTTCGACGGAGAATCCTACTTGATTTGACGAAAGAGATGGAGTGCTTATTCCCTCCAGCTCTTCTTGCAGATCTAGGGAACAAGATTAAGAAAGTCAGACAAGGAAGTGACTTCAAATGATAAATAGAAATTTCATGATGTTTCTTTGTTTTTATTATCCAAGAATGCGCAGCTTCATTTACGTTTTGGGTGTTTTTAACACAGAAGCCAGATCTAAAAGCATATAAAGGCTTTGCCAAAAGAAGATGAAAGCAAGTAGTTTTAATGAATGAATCGACATAATGGGTTCTTTCTTTTATTTTGGCTGCACTTAACCAGCTAAGAGGCAGAAGAAATGGATTTGAATTGACTTTGTAATTTGTGATTGGAAGAAAACATTCATATCCATATTCAACCTTGGTTTTACCAGAGGGTGAGGTGGGATATCCCTCCTCCTGGTGACAGTAAATTGTAGAGGGAAGAGAAAGATGTAATAAATTTAAGCTACTTTGTGTCCCCTCTTTGCCAACTACAACCCCACTCTTGATGTTCCCAATATACGTATTCATTGCATTCCCCATTTTTATATATCATACGACGGCAGATTCTATTCACCAGCTATGTTAATGGAGCATTTTATTTGAATAATGCTAACTTAATTTATATATCTGATTAAAATTCTTCTTAATTTTAAATAGAGAAAAAGAGTACATATAATCGGACAATACAAACCTACTCCAACATTACAGACACAACGCTAACATCAACACGAGTAATGACAGGAAAACGCCACTTGAGTCTTGAGTCAATAAAAAAAAAAAGCCAAACCGCTCCAAAGAGACTGAAATACGGTTGCTCTTTGGGAAGGAATTAACCTCACCATTCCAACTTACCCACTAACCATTCCTTGGGAAGGAACAAAACAAGCTCCAATTTGACAGCAAGAACTAGCATAATCGAACTCCACACTTCCAAACCACTGCAGCATGTCTTCAAACAATATCCGCTCCACATGAGGGTCAAAATCAGGATAAAAGGGATTCAACGCTTGAAGAAGCGACCACCCACGAGGCCATGAGCGGCTACAATTCTCAAACTTGAGACAAAAGCAGTCTCAAACACAAGCGAGAGATCACGACAGCTAATAGATCGGGTCAGAAAGTAACAATAGAGTCTCCCTTGAATAGTCCAAAACATCCTCTTGTTGACAATTCTAAATTTCAGAAATTATCAGATTTAACACGGCTTCACCAAACAATTAAGATAATCACCACCACTTGAGAACCCATTGATCCTATAAATTCCAACATAACATAGAACCATGAGATAAAATAACGCTCAAGAAAATTACTTCCCATCCAAACCGTGGACATTGTTCGAAACAACAATGCTCTACTACCATTAATTAAAAGATCCATTGAACTGAAACTTCGACCAACCCCAAAAATTAAATCCCCTCTGAATATCCTCAGAATACATCATCACACCAAGCCAATCAATCCATCTCCCTGGGAAACAAGGCAACCACCCTTAAAAAGCTTATTTCACTTTAAAATAAAATCGACACTTCTTACCATTAAGCTACGAAGGGGAGCTTTTGAAATAACATTCCACCAAATTAACAGTCCGAGACTTCAATCAACACTCGAACTAGAAAATCTCAATCAATCCCACAACTAAAACACACAACGCATAAGACCGCCACTCTCAAAAATGGGTTTTCATTTGGTATGCACCAAGCCATTGATAAACAGAAGCTGAGATCAATAACCCTTATTTGCATCAATAGATCACCACAAGCAAAACAAACCAACATCATAGACAATAAAACAATGTTGAGACAATAACCAATGGAAGTAGCCTTACTTCTCAAGAGAATAAACTTCCTGCCCTATCCATGTTAAGGAATCATTACCTCATAAGCATAACATCTTCTATAATAAGAATTATCACAGCCATCAATCAGAATCAAATGCAAAGCAAAGCACACCAAAAAAGAAGACTACTCCACATGGAAATCAATTTTAAAAACTGAATGAACACCACCTCTCAATCATGTCAACTCTTTAGAGCAAACATTCCTTACGTCTACACTCTCCTATATCTTTTCTTTTTAATTACTTCCAGAGTGACAAGCTCCTCAATCACCTCCATATCATCCCCTTTCACCCGAATTCTTTTCACCAACTCTATTAATATGAAATAATACATTTGACACTAAAAGATAAAAATGTATCAGACGCCTTGAGGAAGAATGAGAGGAATTTTAGCACGAGAACACCCTTTCTTCGATAAGGACTTCAATGCTCTTCGAGTTGGATGAAGTCTTCTACAATATCTTCTTTGCTACCTTCAAAACGAATGATGTGGGCCAAGTCTTGAAAGGCCGTTGCACGTATGACTGGAATTGGCTGGCATTAGCGACATTGTTGTCGACAGTGCACTGCCACACCGATGAGGCCTACGTGCACGATTGAGGAAGTTGACCCATTAAAAAAAACCCCATAAAGTCGAGTCTTTTGTTTGGATTTTAGCATCATATGATCTGGATACTCTCTAATGCAGAATCAACGCACTTCAAAATAGCATGATCTTGGACCAAAGGTTTTACAATCCCTCGCCCACTTTAATAGCATAATCTGTCAAAATTGTTACCTTGATTCAGCTGCTCCCTTGAATCTTGATCAACATTCTCAATATTGTATGGATATTGAACCGACCATAGTGGTTAAAGAAAATATTAATTTTTAGTGGTATTGAGTTCGAGTAATTACGCCTGCAGGATGTGTGTGCGCGTTATCAATGATTAAAAAAGATTTAAATCACCCTAGATTATTCAAAATTATATATATATCTATTGAATTCAGTGTTGTTTCGTTGGAATCGTTGGAATCAACAACTCGTACAATGTTTTTAATAACAAATAAAAAACAATTAGATTTTCAATTGATTAGTAATGTGCATTATGATTTTGCTTCAGCTGTGAAAAATATATTTCTGCTATTATGGGTGAAAGAGTTTTAGTTCGAATCATTGAGTTGAGTCATATGCGTTTGTATTTCATAAATAGTATAAAAGTTTGTTTCTAAATTATTAGTAAAAAGATTATTACAAAACGAAGATATTAGCCTTGACTAGAAAATTTAATAAATTAATTAATTAAATAAAAATGACATAATTACTATGCCATGTAATTCATTGTCTTAAAATTAATTTTATTTGGATTAGTGTAATTCTAAAATAAACGTTGTCTACAAGGTTAATACAATCTTTTAAACTTTATAAACTTAAAATAAATAAAAAATGAAATTTATATTGTGTTGCTATTTTTGAAGAAGAAGAATGAAAAATATGAAAAAAGATAAAAGAAGAGAGAAAATTTTTAAAAATAGATGATAATAGGTATATCAAATAGGGAATTGGAGTTTGGAATTTGAAAAGAAAAATATTGGCAAGTCAATGAATAAAACGAGATGAGGATTATAAAATCTGAACCGGTTCTAATATTTTTTTAAATTTTAAAATACAATTGTATTTAATATTGTATCTTTATTTATATTATTCAACAATTCTCACTTAAATAAATAAAGTAAATAAAAATTCTATAACGTTCGTCAAGCGTAGATAAGCACCGTTAACGATGAGCACCATTAAATTAATTATAAAATATTAATTATAAAGTACTAAAGTATAATTGTAAATTAGTTAAAAATCTAAATGTAATTTAATTAAAATATAATATTTATAAAACATTGGTTTTTAGGGTAAATTATACCATTGACCACCCAACTATTTACCCCTTTTACTTTAACCACCAATTTTTTAATTTTGTCAATTGAATCACCTAACTATTTAAATCTTGTCAATCAAGCCACCTACCGTTAAATATTCACGGAGGAGATGATGTGGCAGTTAATAAAATTTATATAATTATGCATTTAGTCCTCGTTACTTACACATTCTATTAATTTGGTCTTGACTTTTAATTAATTCAATAAATTTAATCTTCAATCAGATAGTGTGTCACTATATGATTGAATAAATATAAAATAAATTAATTCAATAATCGCTACTGATGAGGTTTGAACCTAATACGTGATGAGAGGAAGTAAACGCCCCAACCACTGGGTTGCACCATTCAAATGACAAATATATCACGACATAATATATATAGTTAATGGCAATTAAAAAAGGGAAAATTACCTAATAGAAACTCCAACATGAAATAATTGAATAATACGATAATATGATATATATACACAAATATTATAAATGATTAATATGTGAATGTATTTTATTTATTTTTAAATCATTTTAATGAAAAATAAAAATAAATTAATTTTAATATACTATAATTGAAATATAACGAAGGGCTTCGTTGACTTAGAATTTTCCTGATAGTTTATATCCCGATTAGAGTAAGAATTTTATATTTTATTATTTATTCATTATATATTTGAAGAAAATTTTAGGGGAAACTTGATTTTATTGAATTATTCTATTTTAAAATAGAGTTGTTAAATAATATTAGAATCCAATCAACGCTATAATATTTTAAAATATAAGATATGATACATTCAGTTCAATAAAATTAATATAATGAAGACAATTTATTAATTTAAAATATATAAAATGATACATTTCAATTATAACATATTAAATTCACTTTTTTTTTTTGCATTAAATGTGATTTAAAATATAAATAAAACATATTATTTATTAATCAATTATAATATTTGTTTATATATATATATATATATATATATATATATATATATATATATATTTTCATACAATTCAATTATTTCATGTTTGAGTTCTTATAAGATCATTTATTACCATTAACTATATTATAAATTATATAAATTATGCTTTGTATACTAGACAAATTTAGTGGTTAAGATACTTAATTTTTCGGTTTGCATCCCATGTTCAAACCCCACCAATAGTAGTATTGATTTAATTTATTTTACATTCATTCAAATTGGTGACATGTGGCACTATTTGATTGGATGAAAATTTTATTAAATAAAAAAATATTAAAAAACAATCACACAGTGACATATATCATCATCGGATTGATAATTAAATTTATTGAATTAAATAAAAGTTAGGATCAAATTAATAGAATATGTAAGTAATGAGGACAAAATGTATAATTATACAAATTTTATTAACTGCCACATCATCTACTCCGTTAATATTTAATGATAGGTGGCTTGATTGACAAGATTTAAATAGTTAGGTGATCCAATTGATAAAATTGAAAAATCGATGGTTAAAGTAAAAGGGATAAATAGTTAAGTGGTCAATGGCATAGTTTGCCCTAAAAACAAATGTTTTATAAATATTGTATTTTAATTAATTTATATTTATATTTTTAACTAATTTATAATTATATGTTTAGTAATTTATAATTTAATGTTTTATAAATTAATTTAATGGTGTTCATCCATACTTGTCGAGCGTGGCA